ACATTTTTGTTGGCACTAACCCCATCTGTGAAATGCATCTCAGTAGTGGGGAGCTGAGCAGCAGGCTGCAATATGTAATCAATAATCTAACTCTTATGCAATGCCTGTCATTAGTAATGCTTTACAAAGGAAAGGAGAGACCTGCTTACAGCAGGAGAAACTGAGGCACATGGTGATGGAGTGACATTTCCAAGGTCACCAGGGAGGCAAGTCGTTATCTATGAGGACTCAAGGACTTGTGAGACCCAGAGCACTGCTCTTGGATACTGAGAGAAACCATCCTTTTTAGTGGCCTAGTGCCTAAACTGTCACTGCCAGGAATCATTTAGAAATTCCCACTCAGCTAGTCTTTTGTCGTGGTTTCAGCAGCTGTCAGCTTAATGGGTCCACTGATGGCCGAGTTTGTCTTGCCACATCCCTGAATGCTATGTCCTGCTCTGCCTTAGACTTACTTTGGGTACATGCCTTGGGATTCCAGGTATCACTTTCCTCTTGACGTTCCGGCAGCTGCTCATTTCAGCTGTAGCGATGTGAACCTTAAGCTGCCTCCATTAACTGAACAAACTTAACTCAGCTTCACTTCAGGGTAACAGGTTAGCAGCTGGCTCTCTGTTCCTCACTTTTGTTCTGTAAAATGAAGATAACACCACTGCTTCACTACACTTCATCAGGTTTCAGTAATTGGTGTTTGAGGTTGTTGGAATAGTAAACTGTTGTTTATTAGCAATCAATTAGGGACAGAAGGTAAGAGATTTCTAATATTCCAGAGACTGTTCATGGAAACTGTGCACAGCTTCCTACTTCATATCCTTTTTGGCAGTTATTGTATATAAACAGCAAGATATAAAACTCCCTTTCTTTTTATTTAAAAGGAACAAATCATCTGAATCAAGGGACACACCAGGATTGTTTGTAAGCAAGAAATCAGTAGGTATGTATCATAAGTACTTTCTCTGAGCATCAGAGAAGTCCCAGAATGTAGAAGCAGTGGCAGAAAAAAACCCAAGATGAAAAAAAATGAAAAGGATTGGTTTTCTGGTGACAAGTAAAAAAGCCAAACCATACCAAACCAAACCAGAAAAAAACAATGCCATATTTAGTAGAAAAGGGCTGTAGTTGCCCACTGAATGTGAAAAAGGTCACCAAGTTATTGTATGTGGTGTTGAAACCTGATGAAACCTGATGAAATTCAACAAGGGCAAGTGTAGGGTGCTGCATCTGGGGAGGAATAACCCCATGCACCAGTACAGGTTGGGGGCTGACCTCTTGGAGAGCAGCTCTGTGGAGAGGGACCTGGGAGTCCTGGTGGACAACAGGATGACCATGAGCCAGCAATGTGCCCTGGCGGCCAAGAAGGCGAATGGCATCCTGGGGTGCATCAAGAAGAGTGTGGCCAGCAGGTCGAGGGAGGTCATCCTCCCCCTCTACTCTGCCCTGGTGAGACCGCATCTGGAGTACTGTGTCCAGTTCTGGGCTCCCCAGTTCAAGAAGGACAGGGAACTGTCCTTTGCTGGAGAGGGTCCAGCAAAGGGCAACGAAGATGATTAGGGGATTGGAACATCTCTCCTATGGAGAAAGGCTTAGGGACTTGGGTCTCTTTAGTCTAGAGAAAAGAAGATCGAGGGGGGATCTTATTAATACTTACAAATACTTAATGGGAGGATGCCAGGGGGATGGGAGCAGTCTTTTTTCAGTGGTGCCCAGTGATAGGACGAGGGGTAATGGGCATAAACTTGAACATAGGAAGTTCCATCTTAACATGAGAAGGAACTTCTTTACTTTGAGGGTAGTGGAGCACTGGAACAGGCTGCCCAGAGAGGTGGTGGAGTCTCCCACTCTGGAGACATTCAAAACCCGCCTGGACGCTGTCCTGTGCAACGTGCTGTAGGTGACCCTGCTCTGGCAGGAGGGTTGGACTAGATGATCTCCAGAGGTCCCTTCCAACCCTAACCATTCTGTGATTCTGTGATTCCTCAAGGATGCTGAGAAGCTACATCAGCCTCACTTCAGCAAAGTGGTTTCTGCAAAGCCCTGGCATTACGTGCCGGTAATGTTGGGTTTTCTTCACAAGTTCATCTGTGTACCCCTAAAATGCATCCACCAGAAGGTGGTGCAGGGCAGGTTGCACCTGCAGGTATACCTTTCCCATGGGGATCCATACCATGCTCATCTAGTATGTCCCAAGGTTACCTATTATTGTATGAGAATCATGGTGGTAACACCTTGGTGTTGCAGTGAACCTGTTCTGCATGGCAGAGAGAGCAGTAGACTACGTGCACGAGCTACCTCCTCGTAGCTGCTGTTTTAAAACCATGTAAGAGATGGTATCCACCTGTCCCGTCAGGTTTTGCACATGAAGAGCTTGCTCCTCTGTGCCTAGGTAGGCTTCCCAGATCTATGAGGGAATGATACTGTTGACCTACAGCACATTCAATCACGGAAAGCAGCCTAAATTCACACTGGGCTGATGACTGCAAAGAGAATTACTCTAACTCAGCAGAGGTGGAAATGGATGCCTGGCCTTGTCCTGATTGTGTTTCTTGAGAGAGGGGTTTAGATAGCACGTAGGAGAGGAATGCTTTTTTTTGAATTTTTGGGATTCTGGGCCATGGCTTTAAAAGTGAAGCCTCTGAGATGTGGCTGTAAGGAAAATTCTTTATCTAGCAGTTCCATGCTTCATGTTTTCTTGTAGATTTACTTTGTGATGGCTCCATTGGTAATCAGGGACAGGAAGCAAAGGGTATGAGCCTGTTTGGAGCGCAAACCTTGCTTGTGCAACCTTGTCCCTCTCAAAAGGTGAACACTGATCAAGCAGCACATGCTCTTCCCCTGAGTAGTTCAAATGGGCAACAATCATGAGAAGAGGCCCAAATCCCTAGAAAAACCTTGCTATATTTTCTACCACTTTCCTTTCCCTGCCTGCAAAGGAAGCACAGCTGGGGGAGAAGGACCTGGATCACAGCCTGGCCTGTCCATCATCCAGAGAAATGTTGGCAAAGGCCAGCAAGAGTAAATTCTGCTTTCAGTTACTCCTGAGTAATCCTGTTATGAATGAGGTTCCCCAGGAGTTTATGGACTGCACGGGGAGGCGAGACAACCCGCAGCTTCTTTATGATGATGGATAACAGCTGACCCAGGGACACATTTTATCTTGTGTGCTGTTTATGAGGCTGACAGTGGAGAAAAAGCAAATAGTGCAAATGGCACAAAGCTGCTAAGGAAGAAGTTGTTTAGTTTCCTCTTTTTCTCTCCATGTTGCCACCAAATAGCATCTCTTGTAAATTGAGTGTATGTGGATGCCGCAGGGGGTGAGTGGAGGTCTACCTTACATCCATGGTGACCACAAGTAGATGACATAGGTCTGGGTTCCTCTTCCCATCATACCTGACATCTGCCTGGACTCTTTTCTCTTGGATACTATCCTGGTTTGAGCGACACAGGACTAATTTCTCTTCTAATACTTGGGAAGACTTCACTTTTAGAAGACTCTGGTGTCTGAATTTGTGACAATATTTACTTTATAGCCAGCTATGGTGTGTGGGTTTCAAGGTCTCAGTGTTTTTGAGTTTGCCAGGTATAGGAATGAGGAGAAGCGAGACCTGAACACTTGACCCAAGGTGGCCAATGGGATTATTTCATACCATCAACGTCACATTCACTATAAATTAGAAAGTTTGCTGTGAAGTTCTCTCTCTCCCTTGATGGCTGCCATCCTGAGAACTTCTTGCCCCAGTGCCAGACCCCCGAGGCCTTCCTTTCCTCCTGAAGCCGTAGCATTCGCAGTGTTTGACATTTGCTGTCCACTGCTGGGAGTGCGCAGCTTCCTACTGATATAATTGGCTGAGTATAATCTTTGCATATTCTGTATTGGTTTTGGGATCAATATCTGTTCTTTAGTATTATTAATGTTAATTATCCAATCTTATTCTATTCAATTTGTTTATATTTCAACTCCTGGGTTTTCTTGTTTTTTCCCCGATTCCCCTTCCCGGGGGGAGAGTGTCTAAATTGATTGTCTAAATGACAATAAATTGTTATGGGTTTCTCAAACCATAACAGACACATTCACAAGCCCAACTGGTTGGGTTTTCCCCTGGTGTATTGACATGGGCTTGGAGCAGGAGCCGTACGTACCAGTGCCCCCTGCATGGCTAACTCACTTGCTGGTCTCCTCCTTCCCACAGGCGAGCTCAAGAGCGCGTGTCCATTCAGCCTCACCAGCTACACCCCGGCTTTGACTTCAGCCACCAACTGCAAAGTCCACAACCCATGGGGCCCCAGCCCAGGTATTTAGCTGAAGGCACGGACTGGTAAGTCTTCCACGTTTCGCTTGTGCATTGAATGAGGTGTTTAAAAAGCCCTGGGGAGACTGCAAGGGTTGGTGAATGTCATCATGGATCAATGCTTTCATGAAAGCTAATGGTGCAGCTCAACAGATGCCATGTGGGGAGCATGCAATCGGAAAACTCGTCTCTGGGAGGGCCGTGAGATGCTAAAGCCTTTATGCATGTATATGATAACATTAAGGCATCGTTATTGTCCATAACTCTCCATCCATGGATGCAGAGTGCAGACAAGCATAAATCTTCCTCCAGGGGCTTTTCCTGCTGCAGGGCATAGCCAGGGTCTTTTTCCTGTAGACCGTCTCTGCCTGAACTAGATCTGCTGTCCACCAGGCACTCAAAAGACAGTGCCCACAACTTTTTCTGTGGTCTAAATTAGGGAGCACGGTGCTGCCCTGCCCCGCAGGGTGGAGTAAATGAATTAGTAGTTGTTAATCGTTCTCCCACTGTAGTGTTTGATACCCTGGAAAAGCCGAGCAGAGAATTAATCGTTCTGTTTTCAGAGCAGGTTTTGAGCTCTTGCATGGTTAATAAGGTACTAGGACCTACTTGGAAGAATAAGAAAAAAAGAAAACCATACTTCTGAGTAGCTGCTTGTTAGCTGAGCAAAGTCCATTCTGTGCACTGAATGGAAAAAATAGCATGTGAACGCGTAATTAGAGACAATTGCAATGTGCATGCACAAGGGGACCGAAAGCAAATGTCACAGGAAATCTTAATTATGGCATTTCCTAACATCTGAGCACTTCGCTCTTGTGAGAAACACTCGCTCACAGATAAAAATGTAGAGAGGACAAAGTCTTCAAAGCAAAGATAAAAGTTTATTCAGGATCAAAATAAACGAGTTAGCTGAGTCGGGTGCATCTCAAAAAGAGCACACCTAGTTACAAAACGTCAGGTATTTATGTCCTGTCCCCTTTTCCCATTGGTTAGGTACTTTAGGGTGCACATTCTTTCACGACCGGTTTGCCTATCACAAACTCGATTCGCATTTTTCTCCTTTTAAGGAGTTGTTTTTCTGAGTTACACAGCTCTGCTTGTGCCGTCAACACACAAAATGGCTGTACATAGCCCTGCTCGTGTCGTCGACATACAAAATGGCTGAAGCAAAACAATCCCTGAGTTCCATCTCTCACACTCTGCAAATGGAGAGTCCTTTTAACACAGGGAGAATGTGTTCCCCCTCCAGGGTAATAATATGCAACCTAAAATATGGCAAATTCCTTCTGCCATTTTCTTCTCAGGTGTTCCCATTACTGGCACCACTGTGAGCTTAATTTGGCCAGGATGACATTGTTCAGATCAGTTTGCAAAGCGGTTCATGTACCACCTGGATAGAGCCATTCTTTCTGCCTCTTTTTTGGCGCAGAGTGTTTAATTATAATCATTAGAAGGATCTGATAAAACATCGCTTTATGTTCCCCTCCTCCTCCCTCCTTTTCCCCCGTGTTGCTCAATTGCCTTATAAAACCTAAGGAGTGGGGATGACAGAAATCATATGCTGTGCATATATATTTGTGTGACTCACTTCCCCTCAGGGAACACATACAGTTTTGCCCAGTGACAGATATAAAAACTTTCCTCTAATGTATTACTACTGCATGAGCAGCAGCGGCACTTGCTCGGAGGTGGTAGGTGGTAGGCACTGTTGTGGGAAATGGGGATGAAAGGAAGATCTGAAGGTGATCAGTCATCTCAGACAGCTCAACCTCGATTAAAATCTTCTGGTGAAGAAGAAATAAACTCCCATTTGGTTCCTTAAATCATCTTCTGCATATGCATTTAGTGACCATCATCCACCCTGTTATCTGGGTGTTTATCTTTCACTTTTTGGTTGTTGGCAGCCCATGTACCATAGGCATCATAGCTCTTGAACCTCACATCTGAGCATCAAGATGCTGTCCATGTAGCACAGGTTAGAAGGTGATGGTTGGTTTTGGTTTTATGCAGCTAATATGCTCTGCTTATTCACCTGCAAACCCTGAGAAAACACTGTTCCATGCAGTATTCTGCTTTGGGCCCTTCTGTAGACCCACAGCATCACTTCAGGAGTCTCAATATCTGATTTTAATGATCTAGATGCACCAGTGCACAAACAGTTCAGCAGTGCTGTTATTGCAGTTACTTGTGCAAGTTAATAATGGCTGTCCATCTTTGAGATTTCTCTTTGGTCCTTGATCTCAAAGCACTCTGTAGATTATTGCATCTGTTTTGTAGACAGGGAATATGGGAAGGCAGAGACTAAACGGTCAAGGTCATGCATCAGGCCAGTGGCAGGGCTGGGAATGGACGCAAAGCCTCCTGATTTCCAGTTGAGCCTTCCATCCACCTGGGAACAGTCTTCAGTAATTGGATAAATATCCAAAATTGTGACACAGGAGCTGGAAAATACCTAGTCCTGTCGATTCTCACCCTGGTTATGTTCCTGCCAGTCACCTGCTGTGTTTTATCCTCTGCCAGGTTTTGTCTGTCTAGCACGTGGCTAGCACTGGGCCAGCAAAGATAGTCCCTTTCTTTGCTTTGACTTGGTGCAGAGTGTCTTAAAAGTGGGTACTAGAGCACTGAAGCTGCTCTGGATAAAGGATTTCTGCATTTACTTTCCCCTCATGTCCATTATCTGCTGTTGGGTGAAAGCAGTTTCACAGCTGCTGGAGGACACGTCTGGGTTGCTCCTAACAAGCTGTGGTGCTTGCTGCCGCTGTCCTCCGTGTAGGGGAAGAGAAGTTCGAGGCTGAAATGGGAAGCCACCCCCTGTGCTCTAATTAGCTTAGCTTTGGCAAATGTGAAGACAATGATTATTAGAGTGCCAGCTTTTGTAATTATGATAAAGTGAATGACATTCAAAGCACTTGTTTGCTGAGTGACTCTGGCTGGAGAGATGAGGGATCAGCTAATTGGATTATAGATGGAGATGCTGTGTTAAGTCTCCTCCCATCCCCTCCACATGGTGGTGGGGATGGGGTTGCAGTTTGTCTCTGCATGCTGGATTAGGCAGAACTGTGATGTTTGCTGGGATCTTGGTCATGCCAAGTCCTAGGATTGAGCTGGGTTGTTTTTCTGGAGAGACAAAGTGCCCAAACTCACCTAGATCTGTTTGCCTGGGCCAGGCTGCATGTGGGCAAGTGGGACCATCAGGGATGTCCTGCTTCATTGGCATTGGCCCACTGATTGTGTGACACCGTTTCCTACAGCAGTCTCATCCATAAATTTCTCAAAACCTTTACATTTTCTGCACAAACAGAAGTTCTGGAGTTCCCTGAGGCTGGGTTCAGATGAGGTGCAGTCTCCCTTGTCTCCCCAAGTCCTACCATGACTCGGGCCAGGAGACCTCCAAGGAGAGCACAGGCACATCAAAAAGCCACTGGATGGTGCCTAGCTGGCTCCTAACAACTACCCAGAATGGTTCATCAGTGTCTCCCCTGAGTAATTAGCTGTATTCCTGCAAAATATTCAAGGCAAAATGTAATTGTAGTGATGGCAGCACAGGGAGGACCTGGTCTGGCCGGGTTGAGTTACCGAGCCTGGGGATCGATTTGAGCCACCAAAATGTTCTCGCTCTGAAATTAGCAGGCTGCGTCTGTGCAGCTCTTGACCCTGGCTAACACAAATGCTAACTGACATAAAAACAACCCCGTACCCCTTCATGCTAGCTTGGTGGGCTATTGCCCAAATTGGAGGAAACTCCCTTCCAAGTAGTAGCATCATCCCAGGTTGAGGAACCCACAGCAGCCCGGAGCCCACCAGTGGAGGTTGCCCTGTGAGCATGATCTGACTTGCTGTAAGCCATGCAATAAAAACCGTAAAAACCGTGCGGTCAAAGCCGTATTTTCATCCTCGTGCCCGCAGGGACCTCAGTGTCGATGCGGGACTGACTCACGCCCAGTTCCAGGTCCGGCCAGTCCCTCAGCCCTATCAGCATTACTTAGCTACACCTCGGATGCACCATTTCCCCAGAAGCACATCCTCGACACAGATGGTAAGTGAAACGCTTTAACCAAAAAAATATTTTATGCATTGTCTGCCAGAAGGCAGTCAAAATAAAGGCTGCTATCTTTCTATCACCTGTCTTCTGCAAATCCCACTTATCTCCGGCCGTGGGAGGGAGTGTCTGAAAGGATAATGTTGCATCATTGCACTCCGGATTAGAGAAAGGAAAGAAAAGCTCAGCTGCTCTGGAAAGATTTGGTCCACTGCTTGCAGCACCATGCTCACAAGCTGGTCTGCAAAACCTGGGCAGGATGTGAGAGACTCAGCAGTTATTAGTAATAATATTATTAATACTGGAACAAATTGTGGGCTCCCTGCATGAAGAAGGGTTGGCAGTATATGACTCCTTTCCCTGGGCTCAGCCCTGAGGACCATCCCTCATCACATCATTGCTATCTACATCAGCCTTGATGCCATCCGTAAAGGTTTTGCATGACCTCTTGCACAGGTGGAGATGGGGTTTGAGGAGAAGATGGGATGACTGGAGTAATTTGCTGGCTCTTCCCCTAGCAGGGTGCTGTGTTTGGAGCTGAGTTATGCAAAGCACTGCTAATCCTTAAAGAATCCTCAGAAATCTCACGAGGGTGTTTTTCCCTCATGCTCATAGTCAGACCCTGACACCTGCCTACCACAGCAAGGCTTAAAAAAATCACAGCTTGGATGAAGAGAAATCCACACATTTAAAAATAAATAAAATGAAATCTCTTTTTAAGCTAATCCATGTTGAGAGTTTGGAACTGCAATGTTATAGATGCAACAGGAATTATTATAACAGATAGTTTATTCAGAAGAAGTGCATGTTTTTAGTTATCATTTATAGGATATCTATTTAATAAAACCTAATTTTTTTTTTGTTATTAAAAGGCTTCCATTGGGGAAGGTGTCAGTGTGCTCTTTCATTTTGAATTTTTAAAGCACTAAGTTTAAATCAGGGTACACAAGGGATTTCTATATGCAAGTACATGTGGCTTTATTTTTCTCCCTCCCTTCTCGCAGGTTGTTCACGAAATCAGAAATTACCCTTATCCTCAGCTTCAGTTACTTGCTCTTCAGGGACTGAACCCAAGCAGGCACACGTCTGCTGTGCGGGAGAGCTATGAAGTACGTCTCTTGGGGACTGGAATTATTATTAAATTTTTAAGTGCTGGGAATCTAGGCAAGCTCTAGCCTAAACTTGTAAGACTGTTTTGTGGCATGGCAGTTGCACTGAGTCTTGCAGTGATTTTAGTAATAACTGGGAGGCGAAGCGGTTGAGTGGGTTTGGTAAAAGATGGTTTACTCCAAGGTGCCTGGATCTTGCTCGGGTTGACTCTGGCTCCCTTCATGTCTGTGAACAAAGTGCTCCAGTTCTACGGGGTTTTGTTTCCTAGCCTGTCAAATGGAGCTCAAATTCCACCCTAATTTCTAAATTATTGGATGTCCAGCTCTCTGCTGTCTGCCTTGAACCCTTAGTTATTGGTCCAGGAGCCAGGGCTCAGATCCATCATCAAAGCACGACTGATTTGGGTTTGATGGAGATTTCCACCAAGGAAAGGGCAGGAGCGAGCCTTGGTCCCCAGCAGGTAGGGTGGGGTGGTGGGACCTTATGCCCCGGGAGCAATGCTGATGGCTCTTTACTGCTGTTCCTGTGCTGCAGGAGCTGCTGCAGCTGGAGGACAGGCTGGGCAGCGTGAGCCGGGGCGCAGTCCAGAACACCATCGAGAGGTTCACCTTCCCCCACAAGTACAAGAAGGTGAGCACCCCAAAACCATGGCACAACTGCCAGGCCCTCTCAGTTGGCCACGGGTTGTGGGCACGGAGCAGACAGAAGGAAGGACTTTGGGTCACAGTCCTCAGGGTTGGCAAACCGGCACCGTCAATATTCCCCAAAATGGGGGAGGAATGTAAAATCCAGAATTGGTGCTTTAATATCTTGTGGGGCTCCCGGGCTGAAGCAGTGGTGTAGCTCAGCTGGCTGTTTCTCACTTCTAGGCTAGGAAGCTGCGGGCCAAATTTTCAAAAGGGTCTCAACCTTCTTCCACCCAGAGGGTGCAATTTCCCCCCTGTCCGCACCTGGTAAGAAAGTGCACACACCAAGGGGGCTTCATGCATGCAAACCCACCCCATTCTGCATGGAAGCAGCGCTGCCGTGAGGGCGCTGGCTCCATGGCTTGGGGGAGCTTGTCCTCCCTTCGTTTTGCAAGAGGTGTCTCCTCTGTTGGAGCTGATCTCCTGCCCATAAGGAAATGGGTGCCATTTTTTGGGGTCATGCTAAATAGAAAATAGGAAAAGTGCTTGTTTGCATAGTAATTTTACATGTCAGTCATTCCTGGCTGGGCAGTAACAAGTAGGGACATTGCATTGCCCAAGTTGAAAGTGAGTCAACTCCTGCTGCGCTCATCTCCAGTGGATTCAGAAAAATGAAATTAATAGGAATGGGGGGGGAGGGAGGAAAGGGGAGAGCTGACAGACTAAGCACTGCCCCATGGCGCAGTGTGGGGCTGGGCCAGTAGCCAAGCTGGCATGGGTCACAGTGGTTGCCCTTCCTGGCAGTGGTGGCCCCACACGCTTTGGGGTCTCCAGGAGAAGCCTCCAGAAGAGGAGACTATGGGGCAATCTCCACTGCAAGGAGGATGGAGGAGGTGGCGGGGGGCTGTGTTAGGGCAGCAGAGGACAAGCTGCTCCTTGAGGCACTACTACTAGCCCCAGGAGGAGACGGGCTGACCAGCAGCATGTTGGTGGCTGTTTTGGCTGGACTGGCTTCCCCAAGCTGGAGGATCTGGCTGATAGATGAAGCTCTTATTATTTGCCTTCCTGCAACTATCCAGGCTTGGGAGAGTGTTAGAAAGTCAAGTCCTAACCAAATTATGTCTTTAACCTTGCTGCAGAGAAGACTGCAGGAGGGCAAAGCTGAGCAAGAGGATGGAGAGGAGTCAGACACTGATGAGAAATGCACAATCTGTCTGTCCATGCTTGAAGATGGAGAAGACGTCAGGTACGATCCTTCCATCTGTTCCTTGATGCTATCAGAGTTGTATTTATTGGGATTAATGCTGCCGTGCGCTGGTGGGCTTGTCCCTGTTCTTGTCCTGACAAACTCACTTGGTCTGTTGCAGGGTCTGGGAAACCAAATGCCATGTAGATGGATATTGGTATTGGCTGTAGGTGGGAAGAGCTCTGCAGCAGCAGGAGGGCTGAGTTTTTATAGTATCTCCTGGATTTGAATCACCTACTTCAAGGCTGTGCCAATGGGCCAGGTGGCAAGTGTCAGAGAAGGATGGGTCACAGGTCTCAGGCAGCCATCTGGAGCTCGGGGACATCAACATCTGAGCTTGACAGATGACCAAAGTACAATAAAATGAGTGTGGACGTGAAGTCTAGGGGAGTTTGGCTTGTGGCTAGGATGGAACTGCTTTATTGTAGAATAAGTGAGATTACTCCACCTGCATGGTCACAGGGAGCCATCCTGAGCCAACAATAAAGCCCCAGTTATCCCTCACAGATGTCCCCAGGCTGGGTCAAATCTCTCCTTGTAACAGAGGATGGGGACAAGCAATTGCAAGGGGCTGAGGTACCATGGCTGAAGAAGCTGCAGGTGGGCAGTGCAGCTGCACCTGGTCTGGCTCCTCACTCTTTAATTGCCTTAAACCATCAAGAAAAACTCTGATCCTCTTGCTGTGGGTCCTTGTGGTTCAGGGTCCCTCTGACTCACGAAGGTGAGTGAAGAGATGACAAAGGTGATATAGGTGAAAAGCAACCACATTCCTGGGGCATACCAGACACCCACATGGGAGTGGTGGGGACCCACCTGACTGCTAATGAGCTGCAACGATGAAGAACCAAGAGGCTTTAGAGTAAAACCTAATACTCCTGAAAGGTTAAAAAGCAGAAACCATGGTAATTAGTAACTGGAACAACCCAATTTAGGAGGATGTGAGGTTTTTTTAAAAAGCTTTTAGCCAAGAAGGACACCATCTCTGACCTACTTCCCTATGTGAGCTGGTGTGGCTGGGGAAGGCTGTAGGATGTAGTCAGTACTGGTGTCACTACATTGGTGCCTCCCCACATTTGAAGCAGTCCCAGCTGCTGCTTTCTGGCTCTACTTGGTCCCCCAGACCTCCTCCATCCTAACAGGGTGGTACTTCTCTCTCTCTCTGCAGGCGGTTGCCCTGTATGCATCTCTTCCATCAAGTGTGCGTGGACCAGTGGCTGGCCACCAGCAAGAAGTGCCCAATCTGCAGGGTGGACATTGAAACACAGCTTGGCTCGGACAGCTGAAAGGACTGGCTGGACACACCATTTTCCTTACCAGGTCGTATGGCCATAAACCCTTGCAGCAAAATTTTTGCCTTCTGAGCCATTTGAATGAGAGGAAAAGTCTGCAGGCACGTTAGTGAGGAGGAGGAGGAGGTGGTGGTACAATATCTAGCTGTAGGAGATATTGCACATATGCAGGATACGGGCCCAGTGAAAGGGAGCTGGCATTCCCGGAGCTCAGAGACCCTGTGCTGCAGAAGATTTACTGTTGAACATGAAGGAACTAGTTGTGGTAGTCTAGCCTGTCAATCCTGCATTTCATGAGGATTGTATATATACCTCTTGAATACGTAAAAACATGTTAGGGATCCTTTAGTTATTTCTATGGATGGCAGCTGGAGCATGTTAGCTTAAGAAATATTGTGTTTGATGCCCTACTTATCTTGTGGTGGACATGTTGCTGTTACCTAATTTGCACCAAATATTTTTTCATAGATTCCTTATTTTGGTGCCTGATTAATACATTGCAGAGAGGGAATAAAGAGGTTAAGCTTTCCCACCCTTGGGGGGGGAAGAGGTGAAAAAGCAAAATCCTGTTTACAGTCAGAAGGGTTGCACTCTTTGCCTCAGCCACGTGTGCTTCCTTTCTTGCGTTTACAGTGTGTTGCAAATTTAGAGAAGCTTAAAAAAATAAAAATTGGGAATGAAGTGAATAAAGCAATAGGGAGAAGCTTCGTTCCTGCTTATCTGCTGGTGCTGGACACTTTCTGTAGGGGCAAAATATTGGAGTAGATGCTGTTTCTTTGCTTTCCATATCTTAACGAAGTAGCTTGGCATATCAAGATCCAAGGAAGGGCTGTCTTCATGATTGCTATTGTCCATGATGCTTTCTCCTGTGAGCTGTGAGGCTGGTTGTCTTGAGCAGCCACTGCCAGCACTGGTCCAAAATGATGGTTACTGGAGTCAGCGCCTGTAGTTGTGCTTTGGGGTATAATAACACTGGAGAGGTGCTGAGAGATGCATGCTGCCGACTCCTCTCCCATGCAAAAGCATCTCTGATAACAGGATGGGAGAAAACTTGATGCTCACAAGGCACTGCTGAGGCTATGAGCGTTTTGGTGTGGGAGGGGGAGGCAGGTTGGAAGGGGGTTTGCTGATTTCCAGAGGGGCTGGGTTGTAACCCTGCATCAAAGGGCGTGCACCTGCACCCGTGTGCGTTTGTATACATGTTTCAGGCCGTATCCATACAGACAATGGAGTGGTTGTTCAAATGAAACCTAATTGCATTAATGCTCAAAACAGAATTAGGAGGTAGTCCCAGAAGGAGTGAGCTGTTGTGATCCAAGCTCCCCCTGAAATAAAGACCTCAGCACACCAACAGTAGAGACCGAGCTGAAGACCCTCTGGAAAACCAGCATTCACAACCTTTTTTTTTTTTTTTTTGCTTACTAAGGAAGCAAAAGAAAGATGCTGAGGAGCAAGGGGAATTAGTCAGGAACATTATATAGTGAAGATACTGATGTGGCGGGGATGATTTCTGGCTCCCCTGAGCATCTGTTTTGCTGGAGCCAAGCGATGCTTTCCAAGTAGAAACAATCATAAATTACTGTTGGAGAGATTGAGGGATTCCCATGAGCTGTAAGTGGAAAACACCAACCTCAGAGGCATCCCAGAGATTTTTTTACTCTCAGCTGGAGAGGGGAGGGAAAGTGGGGAGTCTGCAAGGATGCAGGAACCCCTCTCTTGCTGTGCCCATGCAGGTAGGAGGGAGTGGAGGAGGACACATGGTGGCATATAAGGAAGATGCAGGAAGAAATTTTTTACCATGAGGGTGGTGAGACACTGGCCAGAGAGGTGGTAGATGCTTCATCCCTGGAAATATTCAAGGTCAAGTTGGACGGGGCTCTGAGCAACCTGATCTAGTTGAAGATGTCCCTGCTCATGGTAGGGGGGTTGGACTAGACCTTTAAAGGTCCCTTCCAACCCAAACCATTCTATGATTCTATGATATATTTGCCACCCAGCACAAGCGATGGCTTCTTGGGGGATGTGGTGGTCCCAGCCCTGATGTCCATGGGTCAAGAGTACCTATGGGGCTTGTTCCAGCAGCAGCAGATTGAAGCAGCATTAAAAATAATACTAATATTACTAATAATATGGACAAGCAAAGCAAAGCTTTGCTGGTAAAATACACTGTAAGCTGATTTGGTCTGTCCAGGTGTGAGCTGGGGATGAAGCAGGGGGAGGAACAGGGCAATTGGGACACTGTCCCAGCAGGGAGGGAAGGAAGAGTGCTTCCAAACCGCACATTTTCTTAAAGCCTATGCGAAAGTATTACTATTTGCCTGATGAACAAGCACAGTTTTAAAAAACAAACAAAAAAAAAAACCAAAAAACCCACCTTGGTGAGGAAAAGCACCAAACTCCCATGGTCTCGTGTGAGTGACTGATCCTGAGGTGTGTGCGAATTTACAGCGTCTGGAGTTGCATCAGTATGTCAGGTTCCTTTCCGTTTAAATAATTTGTACGAGTAGGTTGTGATAATAGGGTGAGTCTAAACAAAAACCCAAAACAAACAAAAAATCTCTAGGAACAAAACATTGATAGTTTACAGGGTTTTGTGAGTTTAAATGCCTTATATTTAACAATCATAATTTATTACTAACTTGTAGATATTGTGGGTTCTTATTTAATTATTTTTATAGTTGCTTTTTTTCCTTTTTACTTATAATTTATTTATTTAGAAATAAATACTAATTTTTTTTTATTACTCCTATTACCTCATTTTTGCATTGTTTCTGGGAATGGAATGCTTTGCATGCATCGGTACTTAAAAAAAAATAAACATGGGATGTGGGGGGTAATGCTTATCTTGTCAAAAAAAAAAAAAGGGAAAAAAATCAGGGTGTGTGATTACAAACTGTATTACTGTGGTGCTGTTACCTTGGATACATTCCATAAAAATGCAAACCTTTGATTCTGTATGCTGTGACATAGTGGAAAACTGCAATATAGTGACTGTGTTTAGCACATATATATGAATATTATTTGCACTCATAATCAAACTCTGGTGATCCTTTCACTTACATCCTTGCGCATTGACAGCGACTAATGGCGCTCTGCCAAACCAAAATGTTTTGGTCGATTCCCGCTACCACCCTGTCCCCGATGTCACTGGTGATGCTACTGCTCTTGCTGCATGTGTTACCCTGCAATAACACCTGGTGGACCCCTGCTACAAGACTGTGCTTGGGGCAATGCATGCATTTAGTGCAAGACTCTGCAAATTGCTTCAGAAGCCAAGGAAGGAAGCCCAGGCGTGGTGGCTCTGTCCAATTTTTGGTGCCTATTGGCACTTGGTCTGGCTCTTTTCACCCTCTGTTTGTGCTCCCAGCTGGGCGCTGCAGGGAGGATGAAGGAGGCAATTGATTGAGCTTGAAGGCAACAAAGCTGAGGGATTCATTGCAATTTTTAAGGGTTGAGCCCTGGTCTAGCTGAGAGGGGCTGAGATGGACGTGGGAGCCATTCGGCATCCCTTTGTAATGCCTGGCCATAAGCATTTGCTATAACCCAGCTGTGAAACGTGCATGGAGCAGAAGCTCTCAACGCTGATCTTCTTGATCAGTGGGTTTCATCCCCTCTATTAAGGGGGAAACCTCAACCTGGAGCTTTTCCATCCACTGTAGAGCTGGGACCTGCACCAGAGCCCTCCTGTCTCTAAGGAGGGGACCAGCCCCAAGCTGACGTCCCGCTCCTGCAGCAGTGGCCAGGAATCCACAGCCACAGCTACGGCCATGCTGCTCTCGCAATGCGCTGCCCTTTCCCAAAAGGCTCCTGGATATCACGTGATATATATATTCAAGCCTCGCAAGAGGGTTAGAGCACCCTTAATAATATTTTAAGCTTTAAGCCATAACCACTCTTGGTCAGCGCAGATGCTTGGCCATGTATGGACAGAAGTGGGGTTCGAGGCATGTGCTCAGCCACTAGCCGTCCCCCCCAAAAGGCTTTGGATGCAAGTCTCTTTTGGGTTAGAAAGGCACAAAATGGCTGTATCTTAATATTTTTCTCTCTGTCCCTTCAGGGTGCTGCTCTGCTTTGTTGACTTTGCCTTACCCTAGGTTGAAAACCTGTCTGTGTATTTTTCCTTGCTGCTCTGTAACACTCCTCCCCTGTAGCCTGGAGCTGCGGTTTTAAACCATGCAGGGACAGGGGTCGGTTGTTCCCCCCCAGCCTCCCCCAACAAAGACACTGCAAAAGGGATCAGTAAAACAAGGGGTGAGTGAGCAAAAATCTTTTCCTTTAATGACCTGGGCTGGTGAAAGGATCACCCACATTTTTGTACTCCTACTGCTGTTCTGTTGTGCTGTGAACATTTTGCTACATAGACTATTTTACAGAAGAAAGCTAGAATAATATTTATTATTAATATTAAAGCAATAGTGCATTGAAAAAATGAAAAAACATTAGAAATTGTGTAAATGCTTAGATTCACTTTTGGTGGATTTTTTGTACTTTATTTATAACTAATAAAACAAAATGCATTGCTAACTATAAACCTGTGCCGCACAGAAGTCACCTGGCAGGGCATTCTCTTGGTCTTTATTTACCGCTAGTTTCTTATTTCTTTGGGTTGGTGTCATGGTTTGGCCTCAGCCGGCAACAACCAACCATGCGGCCGCTTGCTCAACCCCCACAGCCGTGGGGAAAAATCGGAAGAAAAAGGCAAAACTCATGGGTTGAGATAAAGGCAGTTTAACAGAACAGCAAAAGGGAAGAGAAAACAATAACACCGATAAAGGAATTTACAAACGCGATTACAGTACCACCGCTCACCGACTGGACCCGGACCAGCCCAGGCCTGCTCAGAGCAGTGACTTCCTGCCCCCTCCCCCAGCCAGCTCCCCCCTATAGCCTGGGCATGGCTCACATGGTATGGAATACCTGTGTCCCCTGCCGAATCCCTGGGGAAATTAACCCCATCCCTGCCAGAACCAGGACAGTTGGAGTCAATTCTTCTTTCATTGCTTATGCATTTGGACTTTGATGTGCAAAAGAGACACTGCTGGAATATAAAATACTCCGCCCAGCTGGTTCACAGAGGCTGTTGGTGCTCGAGCTCCATAGCAGAGGCAAGGTGAGGCTCTCCACACTGGGCACACCACCATGTGTGATGTCCTGTGGCACCAGTTGTGTGATTAGGTACCAAAATAACTTTCTAGAACCAGGCTGGAAATTGCCTGTTAAAGAGAGATTTCTCCTCTAAACACAGCCCACGGTGCCTGCAGGATATTTCTAGCAAGTTCTGCAGTGATACCGACAGGTCCTCCATCCTCTCAGTGTAGAAGCATCTCCCTTCCGGTGGGTCTCCTGTTTA